GTTTAGGATGAAGTGACTTTTGTTATTATCCTGGGTTTAAGCTACATAATTTTGTGTTGATATAAAATTATTGTTGCAAGAAATATATTGACAAACGGCTCCATTAACAGCAAAAGTACATATAATGCCTGTGTTTATAGGCCAGTTAATAAAACATTCAAATAAGGAGTTGGTTTACAACAATATTGTCACATGATAGGCAACAACAAAAAATACCATAATGGAAAGTAGCTTTACAAAATATTGTCTACCACAGTCAACAAAACATTGGTAAATAAAGTTGAGCACTTCAATTAATGTCTGTGTGGCTTGCTGCTTGGTGTGGATTGTGTAACTGGTGTGGCTTGAGTGGTTGTAGCACTTTGCCCTTCTGTAAACTCTGTTCTTTGCAAGCTTTGCTTTGTTTTGTAACTTTTGGGGCTGTCGGCGCCTTCCACTTTAGTCCAGGTGTTTGACTAAGTTTCACATGTTGGTAGGAGCAGAACTTATGAGTGTAGAAGGAATTGTGTCCACTCTGTCAGTAGTTCCAGACTGCACAAAAATTAAAACGGTGTGAGTGAGGGATTATGTAGTTAAATCCATGTTAATTGAAGTTGAAATATTTTACCTCTCTGTATAACAGTACCACTTGAATCAAATACGCATACCATATCCTGCTGTCTTTGTTCTCTTAGACCGCATTTGCACCACCTCTTCTAGCTCATTGGTCTTCCTTTTTGGACCTCTTGCAACATTAGTTGATTGTTGTGTGCTTGGATAAATGATTGGTGGCAGTGAAGGATGCAACTTCCCATAGTTGAAGGTGTTGCTGCACTGCTCGGTGTTGTTGATGCACTTGCAGGTATTGTTTGATGCACTTCCAGCTGCTTGCAGTTCCACTTTCAGCAGTTTTCACCTCTACCTGAACTAGTTCCAGCCTTCCCATCTGGTTTTTTATGGCATACACATAACCAAAACTATCACTAGTAATGATGAATTCTTTCAATATTAGTAACAAAACAACAATAATACTTACTGCATGATGGCATCCTTTCTTGTTATGTCCTAGAGTCTTGCACAAAGAACATCTCATTTGTCTCCCTATCCTTGTACCCTTCCCAAACTTCTTCTTTGGTTCATCAACAGCCTTTGTCCTTTTTTTCTTTGGCCTCCCTGGGCATTGCAGTTATAAACAGGTGGCTCGAATAGCTGGCAGTGTGCTTTGGCGACAAATTCATTTAACTAGTTTAAAGGTTAATGAATCTGCTATATATGCTTAAGGTGGTATCCTTTCTATCCAATGGTCAGCATATGGCTCAAACCCTCGTATTTTTGAATGCATTGCTGTAATTGCATGTGCACAATGGGAATTCTTTGAGTTGCCATGATCTACAAGTACAGTTATATGCCCTAAAGTCAACAACTGTTTAATGGCCCATCTGGATGCTCATACCCTGTTTCCACCATTAAATTTGACCTTTCACATTTGGCGCCCTTTGTGAGCATTTCTCTCCAAGATTTCTCCATAGCCAATGGGTGATATCTCACCTACCCATTTTTTCAGAAAACTCTCTCATGCTTATTCATCCTCTTCCATACACTTGATTCTAATTATCCTCTAACATAGTAATGATAGACTTGTGCCTAGCTGCCAATATCCAACTATTGAATGTCTTCACACATGTTGTTCTCAACTAGCATTCACACTTACTAATGGTCTTTGAAATATGCCCTACACCATGTTTCCTTGTTGATTTCAGTAAGTCTGAACAATATTTCCCCCCAGCTGGTCCATTTCATCCAACTTCTTCTAAAGAAACCTCAATGATAGTCTCTTGCCACACTGCCAGAATTTTTTCCTTCTTTCCTCTCACCAGGCAAGTTTTGCTTCCAATTAGCACAGATATTGTTAGCACACCATCCTATTCAAGCAATTTGGCAATATAACTGAGTTATTGCTTAGATGAAGACCCTACACGTCATAAAAATTATATTGTTATAACTTAAACATAGATGAAAACAATTACACTTTAAAGAAGAGTATTAAGAAACCATACCTTCTTGATATCAGACATGACTGTCAGCCCTTCCTCCTTCAGTTTCTGTCAAGTTTAGATCATGCTTGAGACAACCTGATAAACCAGAGACCATGTATCCTTGATTCTTTCACTACTGCCCAAGCCACAGGAACATTTGATTATTTCCATCTTGGAAATGCAGAAAGCAAGTTCACCTTTACATTGGTTCCCCTTTAGGGAATGCACCATCAAAAGCCAATTATGTTCTGCACCCTTCTAACCACCAGTTTTTAATGCTTCAAGACAGCAATAAATGCCCATAAAGACTTCCTTGCCAGAAAACTGAAATCCTTAGATGTCCTTTAGTCACTACAGTAGTGCCAGGATTAGTAGACTTCAGCAATTTCTGCATAATCATGAAGCCTAGCAAATTTCTTTCTTGTAAATCAACCACATATTCTCCTTCATAACTATCATTTTTGCTCTTCTATAGGAAGTTTTGACTTCCATACAAACCATACTGATGCCTAGAGTAAGGCTTGAATCTGATGAAGTTAATTTGAGCCGCTCACTAACTATTCTGTCTTTGAATTTTTTTGCAATCCACTGGTGGGTTATTACATCTTGTTCCTGTTGTTTTCTTGTAGCATTTATGGACAGGGTAGTATGTAATCACCCTAACAGTTTCTGGGTGCTTGCCTTCAATGCTACCAAGGATATGCATGGACATCCATTTTGTGCACTTTGCCCCTAACCCTTTCCTTCTCATTAGGTTCAACTTAAGGTTGACACCTTTTTGAATAGAATATGTCTGCAATGCCCTCCCTAAAATCTTCTCTCCCAAATAACATAATAGCTAACATTAGAACAAGTACAACCACAATTATAATAGCAGCAACTCTCAACTTCGACCTTCCTTGACTTCTTTGACAATGGCATCGATCACTCTTCTTAATAAGAGCCGCAAGAAGAGTCTTGTAGTGTTCTTCCTCAATCGCAGGATCAACCCATCTGAAAAAGCCACAACCTTCACCAATCTCATATCTTCGGTAGCCCAGGAACCTCCTTCCAGGATTGGTGGGTGTTCGTGACATTTTAAGATCTGCAGCAACTCCACAATAACACAAAGGTTGCATCCTCATTGTTGAAGGAGAAGAGGCGGCAATAGCGTATTTGTTGCAGGAGAAGCAGAAAAAAATCCACTTTCAAAACAAAAGGAGATTGCAAAAATTGATGGGCAAAGAAGATTCACATGAAATTAAAATTCTATTTTTGACAGTTGAAGCTAACAAAGAAAGAAGAAGGCATCAGATTTGCTAAATTTAGCTTCTACAATGTTCAACAATGGAGAATAAGGTACAAAGAAGAAGATGGATGTTAAATAGGCTAAATTATTACTGTTAGAGCTTTTTTTACTGTCTTCACGCCCCTTACAGGCGTGTGAATCACGCACTGCAGCCACATATGACACATAGGATAAGCCACGTTGGATAAACGTTTATTATTCACGTTTTGAATGAGTATAAGTGTTCAATTGGCAAATATATAAGTTTGGGGACCGACATGACAGAGTGGGCGAAGTACAAGTGCCATTTAGGCTATTCTGCCTTTGAATAAAAGTCTCTAATTACCAAAAAAAAAAAAAAAAAAAAGAATAGGGTGCCCATACCAGATTGTGATGGATTTTATTAGCCGAATAAAGTAATAAAGAAAAAGTGTAGTACGGTGGGTCAAGCTTTATCTCTCAGAAAACGATAGATATTGCAATTATGAGAGAGAGACAGAGAGAGAAAGATAGAGGCGTTTGTGTTTGTTGCTGCTACTTTTCTAGAGTATCTACAAAACAACACAACGGTGCGAATGTTGGAAGAATGGAAGCAAACTAAAGGCCAACTATGGCGGCAAAAAGAAACTTAAAAATCTCCAAAATAATATTTACTAGTAACTCATATTTTAACCATTTGTCTGAAAGCAATAACTAGAACAGCTTAAAAACAAAGATGGTGAAAGAGTAAAGTTAAGTGTCTTTTTGAAGTGTTTTTCCTAACAGGGTTTGGTCTTACATCTCTTTTTCTGTTTTCCTTTTTACTAGTCATTGATAAGGAAAGGCAGTGACTTTTAGGGAGCTTATTTTTTCCAGTTTTAGCAGGGTTTTTTGTATATGGGTTTGGTGGAGGGTTCTATTAATGGCTTTAACGTTTCAGACAAGGCAAAGTTAGATGTTGGAAAAATTTCTACTACTACTACTACTACTATTTGTTACAATTTCCAACTGCAGAATACTGAATCATTCCCTTCCAAGATCATGATGGTTCATCATCAAGATCCTCACCGTCCATTCTCTGATGATGATGATAATGGAGGTGGTGGTGATAGTGGGCCCACTCTTAACCACAACGAAGCTAACAAAATGCCTTCTTCTAACGAGCACAATGTATATTCTGATGCTAGTTTTCTTCCTCCTCTTCCTCCTCCAGTTACTGGTGGTGCTGCTGTTGTAAGGACTTTTCAGCCTTTTGACATTTCTACCAACTCATCCCCAGGTAAAAAGCTTTTCTTTTTTCCTTTGTCCCTCCCCCCCCCTACCCCCCCCCCCCCCACCCAACCCCCCGGACCTTGACCTTAGTCCTAAACTAGTTACTTTATTTTTTTCTTGGTGTTTCCTTTTCAACTCTCTTCTCTCTTTCTCTGTGCTATTGAAAAAGAAAGATCTGAATTTAATACTAGTGGTACTGTTTTTGCTGCTACTTAAAAGAGCAGAGACAGAGAGTGAGTAAAGTGGAGAAACAGAGGAGAAAAGTGTCTGAATAATGGAGAATAAATGTATGTTTTTTGCTGTGTTGTAACTCTGCAGTAGTAGAAGGTATGGCAGCGGCTCTGGGGTTTCCTTTTACATGGTCTCAGTGGAAAGAACTGGAGAAACAAGCTATGATCTACAAATATATGGTCTCAGCTATACCTGTACCTCCAGATCTTCTCTTATCAATTTGCACTAATTCCTCTGGAGCTTCTCTCACTACCTGTAACATACTAACAACCCTTGTTTTTCCCTATTATCCTATCTATTTTTCCCTTTTTATTTTTTCAAGTTATATTGGTTTTTCTTGATTTTTTGGGCAGCGGCTAGTGGTTCAGTACAAGGGCAAAGATGCAGAAATATAAGGGATCTAGAACCAGGTAGGTGCAAAAGAACAGACGGCAAGAAATGGAGATGCTCAAGAGATGTAGCTCTTCATCAGAAGTATTGTGAGCGCCATATGCATAGAGGCCGTCCCCGTTCAAGAAAGCATGTGGAAGTTCATGCCCCTCTTAACAATAACAATGACAATAAGAAGACTCGAAATCACCCTGTTACTCTTGAATCTACTCCCATTGCTGTTCCTAAACCACCACCTACTGGTCAAACCAACAGCCTTTCAACACAGCCTCTTAGATCTGCCTTTCAACAAATGGAGGGTCCCTTGTTTCTTCATGATAAAATGGGGCAAAACATCTCCACTGATTCCTCTTTCAATGAATTACACAGGTTTTTATTTTTGTAGCTGCTATTTCATTCTTAGTTATGAGCTTTAACATTGTCTTTGGCCCTGCCACTGTGATTGAGGTTAAGTCTTGTTAGTACTAGTCCCACATCGGTTGGATTTAAGGCTATAATACTTGCTTTTATAGCTAGCTTTAGGGTTGAGTTAGGCCGAAAGTCTATTTCATTATTGATCACCTTTAATTTTATTTAGTTAATTTTTAATGGAAAACCCCCGCATTTTTATAGTTTTTGTTTGTGTTTTGATGATTAAAGAAGTTCGGGCTGGACGATGGAAGGCGAGTTGGTGGCGAAGGCTGGTGCTGGACAGCAATGGCAACATTTGATGGACTCAAACATTCACCCGGCGGACTGGCAGGATAGTTACAGGGAAGAGGCACTGAATTTACTGGCGTGTAGAGATTTGGAAAGAACTGAAGATGTGAGTATGAGGCACAATGGTGAGTTCAATTTCATGATAAATCCTGAATTACTTTCTTTGGATAAGCAAACTGTAAGGGAAGCCCCAAGGGACTTGATTAATGCATGGTCAAATGATAACATCTACAACAATAGTAACAATGAGAATATGGAGGAGGGTTCGCTATGGCCATCGGAAGGGAACATCTCTCCGTCATCACTTACTCTATCTATGGCTATGGCTGCGGGCAATGCGCTTGATGAGGATATGGGATTGGAGAGTAGTGTTATGAATAACTCGTATCAGAACAAGTCTTGGGAGAAATTCAGTTGGGTACCTTTTGCATCTGGAGGACCATTGGCTGAAGTTTTACATCCTAGCTCTTCTATTAATCAAGGTGAAAATCCAGCCTCTTCATATACAAGCAATTGTGATTCAATCAGCCCTGCAGCAACAACCGTTTCGTCGCCATCTGGAGTTCTTCAGAGGACAATGTTTTCACACTCTGATGGCAGTGTTTGCAACAGCCCAATTCTTGCACCTCCGACTAACACATCTGAGACGGTTCCGTTCCAGTGGCTAAGTTAGAAGAGAATGGCCAAATGGCTCTTCCCTTTTTTTCTATTTCCTTTTAACAGTTGTTCCTTTCTAGCCAATGATACCAGAAGTTTCAAAAGTGAATGTCTAAAGTTCATTTCAGGCAATCTCAGTTCCCAACACTAGATCAAAAAAGTGTTATACTGCTATCCTGCAAGCTGTTTTGAAAAGCTTTCTTAAATTTCAGCAATTGTACTTGTATGTCAAAAGAGTACAGTTTTTTTGCCTCGTTTGTGCTGTGTCTGTCTTAAGTCTTAACATACAAAAACGAATTAGAATGTTCTAATCTCGGGTTTATCATGGGAATGACATGTGGTGTTATGTGCTCTGAAGATTCTTAAATAAAATACTCCTATTATAGTACCAAAAGGAACAGGGATAATGGCCTTGGTCTATGTTACTCGGATTCTCCCATTGTCACACCCGTGTCGGAACCTTAAAAAATATCAAGTTTGGAGGATCCGACACACACCCAACAACATTTTATGAACTGGCTAGTCTTTAGGACTGTGCCTATGTTTTCTTGAGCTGGCTAGTCTTTAGGACTGTGCCCCTTCTTTTGGCTGCGAAAAATATTCTCAGTTTGACTTGATGGATACAGCGATATACTCCTTTAAATATTGCTTTTTAAAATTTGAAGACCTGTATAATATCTTTGACTCTGTTCGGATGGGATTAAGTGTGGACGAGTTTCATGATATTCATCTACTCCTTTGGAGATATTGGAGTGTGATTTCACATCCAGCAGCTTTTAGCTTGTATTCAATTTCCATGTTATTTTTCATTTCAGTTCCTTTTGTTCTGTGTTCAATCAGATCAACCCGGATTTTTGGAAGACAATGATTATATCGCATGACGCAGTCAAGAAATCTAGTGGTTTTTTAGTAGTTCGTGTGAATTTTGGGATATATGCGGAAGGCAACAATAAAAGCTAGTAGGAGTACTACTTCTTTACTCCCTCTGCTCCCATAAATTTGCTTTTTGTGCTTTTCCTGAGCTAAAATAAAGTAATATGTGACTTAAATTTCTAGATGATATTGTACGACTTTTTTTATAATACAATGCAATTTATAGTACTAATGGTATGTCATATAAGTAACTTTTTTAATGATTGTCTTTTCAAAGTTAAACTAATCCATGATCAATTTTAAAAAAACGGTTCATTAGCTCTTGAAAATATGGAATACAGTGCAATTTTACATGTTGGGTAAAACGAAAAAGACAGTCTGTAGCAACAAGTTGAGATGGCCGAGTTGGTCTAAGGCGCCAGATTAAGGTTCTGGTCCGAAAGGGCGTGGGTTCAAATCCCACTCTCAACATTTCATTTTTCTTTTTCAGGAGTTGGACTGGCGCACATCTTTTTCTGTTTTTACTATTTCTGGCAGATGATGATGAATGGAAACTGGTGCAAATTACGTTCCCTCGTTTTCTTTTCTTTTTTGGAATTTTTACCTCCTATAGTAAAGGTTAACACCTTATTTATTTTAAATAAATATCATTTAAAAAAATTATATTCTATAGATACCTTTTAAGGTTTATAGCAAAATATTTAATTTTGATTACATCCTAGCCCTAAGCCACTAAATACGCTAATCAATTACACTATTTTTTTTCTCTCTCTACTTTGATACATCCCATTCTCTTTCCCCATCTCATTAAAATTTCCAATCTCCTGCTCCTTCCACCGATTTTCTTTCTATCCCTTCCCACTTTCCCCTCCCTTAACTCAAATTCTTTGGTTTTCCTCAAAATATCAGTACCTTTTGATACATAATAGCCGAATTGTTGAAACCAAACTTCCTCTTAGATTCCTTTTTTTCCCCTCTTATCGTTAGTCTTCTAGCCAACCAAAGTATTATTTTATTTTTTTTCCAAATATTCCCTAATAAGTGATTTTCATGGAGCCAATTGAAAGGGATCATTCGATCCTTCCTTTGTTGCGCCGTTTTATTGTCCTTGCTGAACCGAAGTAAGAATATTTTTTGTTCCTCATAACCATCCTAGGTTTGGGACAGCAGCAAGTATGGGCCTATAGAATTCATTGTCTTTTTTTTTTCATTGTAATTCAATGTATCTCGCTGTATTTCATGTATTTTATTATATTCTCTGTCTTTTTTTTCATTGTATTTCAACGTATCCCGCTTCTATGTATTTCATCGTATTCACTGTCTCGCTATATGCCATGAACGTATTCATAAGTTTTTTTTAATTAATATAATTTATGTATTCAGATGTATTATATAATTTCTCTGAAGATTGCTATGTGTTTGGATATTTTTTGGTTGAGAATTTTTTTTATAAATGAAAATACAAATTTTATGTGTTATAATTAAGTTTGTTGAGTTATATTAGGAGTCTATTATGTTAATTGATTCACTTTCCGTTTTAAAAACAGTGTAATCCCTTATTTCACTCTGTGAATACAGTCGAATACAATAATCTGTCCAGTTGTAATCCCATGTTTCACTCCATGAATACAGTCGAATACACTCGAATACAACAACTGGTTAGTTGGACTTCCCTGATTCACGCCTATTTTTACTACTGTATTCATGAATACAATAGCTTAAATACATCAAATATATCTTATAACCACATAAAAGGTATCTATAATCCGTAATATAGCAAATGGTATCTATAGATGGCTAATTACTACTAAAAGATAGTGCTTTATAAAAATTTCCCTTCTTTTTTTCCTTAACTAGATGGTTATGGCCCGTAAGCACGGGCCCAATATTGTCAGAGTTGAAATTAGGATTAGTTACCTCCTATAGCAAAGGTTGATACCTTATTTATATTAAACAAATATCCTTTTAAAAAATTATATTCCATAGCTACCTTTTGACTTTTTATAGCCAAATATCTATTTATGGTCACTTCCTACCCTTAAGCCATAAAATAAGCTTTGTATTATTTTTCTCTTTCATATCCCCTCAAATTTCTCATATCTCCTACCCCATATCTCTCTCTATTTGCATCGACTTTCTATTACACGCCCTAAAAAGCAGATGCGGAAAATGTATTCATCTGCGTATCTCCACAGGATGGTTTTTTGGGATTGCACTGTATATTACGCCATGACTGCATTACTGGTTCTTGAGAGCAGACTAAAGGAATGAAAAAGCATTGATGAAGTCAACACCATATTTTTTATGGTCAAGATGTGAGATCCATTTTCCGCTGGGACTTAGTGTGATATATAAACAATTGGGTGCTATTATATTCATATGTTTGTTAATGGTTGAAAATTCCGTAGCTAATATTGTTTTTTTATTGAACAAAGACGACGGAGTTGGGGGCTGAGCAACTTGAATTTTCTATTAATATAATTCAATGTATCTTGCTGTATTTCATTGTATTCATTGTATTTCAATGTATCTCGTTGTATTCTATGTATTTCATTCTATTCATTGTCTTTTTTTCTATTGTATTTCAATGTATCCCGCTGTATTCTACGTATTTCATTGTATTTACTGTCTCGCTATATTCCATGAATGTATTCATATGTTTTGTTTAATTACGATAGTTTATGTATTCAGATGTATTATATAATTTCTCTGAAGATTGCTATATTTTTGGGGTATTTTTCGGTTGAGAATCTTTTCTATAATTGGAAATACAAAATTTGTGTATTATAATTGAGTTTGTTGAGTTATATTAGGAGTCTATTATGTTAATTGATTTACTTTCCGTTTAAAAACAGTGTAATCCCCTATTTCACGCCGTGAATACAGTCGAATACAATAATCTGTCCGGCTGTAATCCCATGTTTCACGCCATGAATATAGTCGAATACACTCGAATACAAAAATCTATCTAGCTGTAATCCCCTGATTCACGCCTAGAAATGCTACTGTATTCATGAATACAGTAGCTTAAATACATCGAATACACTCTAAAAAATCTGAAAACATAGCTATAGGAAGTAATATAGCTACAACTAGCTAATAACCACTAAAATACAGTGGTTTCTGAAAGTTTCTCTTGAAATTAACAGCTTCAAATTATTTATATTCATTTTCAAACAAAATATGTACTCATGCATGTTCTGTGGCTGCCAAATAATACATTCTTCACATCCACGGACCTTCATATCATGGATGCATTTAGAAACAAAATCAAGTTGTACACAAGTTACATAATATTGAGAGTATAGCAATTTTTACTGCCATGAAATTACACACACACACACACACATATATATATATATATATATATATATATATATATATATATATAGATATATATATATATATATATATAGTCCTTTGTATGGTCATTGTTTTATTCTTTATAAATCATTTATTTTTTAGGGGCTAAGTTAGTGCAAGCAAATGTGCATTGTCTTTGGTCTTTGTATGGAATGTTTTTCACATTTCTTTTTAGGCCTCCAGTCTCTACATAAAAATATTGCTAGCTCCAAGTAGTATATGCTTAAGAGTTCTGGCTATAAGAAATGTAATAAGAGATAAGAACTTTCAATAGAAAACTCCAATTTATTCACAATATTAGTTATATCTTCTGTGCTAGCAAAGAATATAACAATATTTCATTTGGACTAATAACGGGGGTAATATTTATCTATAACGGAGTATCGAAAGGATAAGCTTATTGTACCCGGTATGGATAATCTTCTACCGTGGGTAATGTTTATCTATAACCGAGTACCGAAGTGATAAGCTTCTTCAGGAGGCTTATTTCCAATAGAGTACTAAATAGATAAACATATTTACGGCGGAGTCCCATATGGATAAGCTTCTTCAGGAAGCTTATTTACAACGGAGTACTAAATGAACATCCATAATATAATATATATTTATAACACTCCCCCTTGGATGTTCTTTAAAAGATAATGTGCCTCATTAAAACCTTACTAGGAAAAATCCCATGGAAAAAATCCTAGTGAAGGAAAAAGAGTACACATATTTCGTAATAGGCATTGCTAGGTGCCTCATTAAAAACCTGTAAGGAAAACCCCGTGGGAAAAAACCTTAGTAAGGAAAAAAGAGTGCATCGCGTATTTTACTCCCCCCGATGAAAACCTTGTTTCAAATATTCGAGTCTCCACATTCCAATCTTGTATACCATCTTCTCAAAAGTTGAATTT